CAAAAAACTAAAATTTAAAAAGGAAAATATATTACGTTTTTTTTAAAAGTTACTCTACTATGCTAAATGCTTTGTAAATTATTAAGTACATAAATTATTATGAAGATATATTAAATACATAAATTATTTAATTATTAAATACATATATAAATATATAATAAAAATACAAAACTATTTTAAAAATTACTCTACTATGCGAAATGCTTTGTAAATTATTAAGTACATAAATTACTATGTAAATATATTAAATACATAAATTATTAAGTTCACTTATTGCTTTATTAAATAAAGTAACAAATTAATTATATTATTTACAACTAATAGTTACAACAAATTATATTCTTTGATAATTTAAATGAAAACCCATTTTATTTAAATTATCAAAGAATATACATAATTAAATTTATATATATATGCATAGGCGTTGAGTTTTAGTTTTCCCGGATGGGGCATAAACTATTTTGTAGGAGTTAAAAATCTATAATAAGAAATAAAAAGTTTTTTCAATGGGCATAAAATGTGTTTATGGGTATGGAGGCACGCATTATAAACTCATTGTTCAAATGATCAAGTTCAAGAGTGTAGGCAATATTGCGATAGCAATTTTAAAATAGCAAGATGATTCAATCGCTCCTGAGACATTGTAGAACGCAATTAAGTCTTTAGCCTACGAAGACAAGAAAAAGAGTGCTCACAAATACATGAGGTGACAGACATACATAGTAAAATTTTCACCAGCTTCACAAACTCAGAAATCAGTGAAATTAAGTGAGAAAGGACACCGTCATGATCTACAAGCTCATTCAAGACTGATTCAGAATCATTTAGAAGAATATTCTTGGACTTTGCATGATCCACAAATATATTGCAATTGAGTTGCGATATATTTGTGGATCATGCAAAACTTTATTTGTGGATCATGCAACTTCCAAGCAGTGACTAATGATAAAATTTTCTACTTTTGCTAAATGCTCAGTGGTCTCAGTCGGTTTGAAATGGGTTGCAAATCCCGTTATAACAAAATCTAGAGGTGCATAGAAAAGCTGGTGGTAGTGGTTCTCTGGAGTCGTAGCAAAGTATGGAACTCCACCAGTAAATATTGATGTAGTTTTACGTTTCCGTGGCATCTCAGATTTGTCAAGTGAACTACATTCTGCTGCTACAACGGCTGCATCCATTAAGACTTTAAAGCGAGTATCATCCTGGGCTTCTTTTAACACCTCCTTTAGTGTGTTTATGGTATTTCTTGCTTTGCAAAAATTAAGCTGCATGGCTAAAATGATTTTCAATAAATGTTTAGCATTATAATTTGCTTAAAATAATATATTAAAAAAAATAAAAACACTATGAAATAAAAGAATATTTGCCTTGGAGTGCTGTATTAGAATCCTCGATTATTGTGAAGATTATGCGCAAAATTTCCAATTTAAAAAATGTGTCAAACTTACAAAAAGATTCCAAATAACCCGCTGCTTCTGACTTATTTTTGGCTGAATTATCAAAATGATTTTCAAAATCCTCTAACCAGTTGATTATAGCGAAATAGTTACTTGTAATATATATAATAGACAGTTTTCTTAGGATTCATTGAGTGGGACAAAATGACCGCAGTGATGTTCTGCTTTCTACATCCTCTACTTTTGAAGTTTATTGAAACATGCCGGTCGTTTTAGAGATCCACGGGAAAATGCGATAAATGGTTGCACCAAATTCATAATATTCCTGATCTCTTTTTGATTTTCAACAGAATCTTGTGCTACCAAGTTGAAATTATGAGCGTTGCAGTGCACGTAAATTGCCCGCTCTTCTTTCTCTCTCATTAAAGTCTGCAATCCATAGATACCTCCAGACATGTTAAACGATCCGTCTAACATTGTCTGAAAACATTGTTCTCGATAATTTTGAATCAACAGGCTAAATCAACACAAAACGTCCTTCAAACAGTTTAACAAAGTTTCGCTCTTCATGTTCTCGTTTTATAAAATCCCATAAAAAAACTCCTCAATTTTAAATTTTTCATTAACACGCCAAATGCAGATTGAAATTTGTTCTTTCGCTGACATATCCGTTGTTTCATCAGCCATCAAACTATAGAATTGTGATTCCCTTATACTTTTGCATAGCTTACGAAGCGTTACATGAGCAATGTCTTGTAGGATTTCGTTTTCAGTTTCAGGCGAGAGTCACTTTTGCTTTAAATACTTTTGATAAAGCCGTACGATTATCCATCATTTCTTTCTTTTGGTGATGATGAAGCTGCTGCATAACGGTCGACTCCAGTGTTGCTGAGGCGATCAAACTAACGAACGCCCCATAAAGTTCAGATCACTTGTGAGAACCAATTAGAAAATCCGTTTAAACGAATCTTTTTTTCTTGAACTACGAGGTAAAGGCATTTTCATTTGGGTAGCTTTGATGCAGGTAGAAAAACAACTTTTTCTTTCTCGCGGTCATGTAAAACCCATTTATATTTTTCATTCCACCTTTGTTTAAATTTTCT